AAGGGTGACGCCGAGCGCCTTCAGTGTACAGTAGTTCTGTTTGATCCATGCTTCCTCCCAAAGCTGGTTCTCACTGCTAACTGGGTGGATCTGACTTTTCTAATTGATTCTTTGTTTAACCTTTGTGATTGACTTTCAATTGGCATATTGCCCTGTATTTTTGGGTTTAATAGTGGGAATTGGTGCTGACTGGTTTCTTGGACTTCCTTCTTATTTTGAGAATAAGTTCCTGGATTTTTTTCAGCATGTTAAGGTTGTACGTGCAATCAAGTTGTAGTTGGTTCATTGGGGTCGTGCTTTAGGGCATAAAAGATCTTGTTACGCATGATTCTCTTTTTGTTTGAGATATATATATATATATATTTATATATATATATATTTATATTTATATATATATATATATATATATATATATATAATCTACGCAAAACTAATCTGCACTTCTATGCTTTGTTAATCTGTACTTAACTTTGGAAGCCAGCTCATATTTACAAGCCATTAGTGATTAACAATATTGCAGTTAACATTGTTGCTAATGCTGCAGTATTATCTTATTTTTGGCCTAATTAATTGTGTCTTATTTGATGTTAGGTCAGATGGTGCATCAACGTCAAGTGCGCGGAGAGGACGTCCAAAAAGTATGAGTACATCCCCTGAAATTGGTGATGACTTTGCGAGGTTTGTGAAAAGGACTTAACCCGCTAAATAAGAAGAGTTGCGCCAAGTTTAGTGATAACCTTGATATTTATATTTTCCTCAAAAGATCAACTTGAGTAAAATACTTGGTTAACTTCTAAATAGGCAGTACAGTATAAGATTTTTTTCCTTTTTGGACAACAATAAAATATGAAAAAAGGAAGCAAACTAGGTACATGATTACACGGGTTCACTTTATCGATGGCCAAGTATTTTACCATATTTAACCTCGTGAATGCAACAAACTGACTGTTGACTTTGTCATCTTAGGTTAGAGTGATGAGCACAAGGGCTCCCGGTGTTGGGATTCTATTGGCCGTCGGATGCAGATTTCTCGGGATGTGACTTTCGATGAGTCCCATCCTTTATCTACGTCGATCCTCTCCTTTGGCCTCCGTGGAGGATATTTCCTTCTTGCCTTTTCTTGATATACCTATCACTCTAGTTTTCCCCATAGTAGCCTAGTTTGGGGGTCGAAGGTCCATTCCCTGAGCCGGGGTCAGGGTCGATCGACCTAGATCGAGGGCCAGGAATGATGTGGGGTCAAGCTGGGCCAGTTGTCAGATCGCAACCACAATCGATGAATGTTTATCCTAAACAGTATGCAAAGTTCACGTTGATTTACTAGGCAATCCACTGCATTGTACGCCGCTCCACTTGTTTCCTCAAGTCCGTGGTCCACAACTCCGCCTTCGATCCATCAAACTATATACTACGGTATACATCTCTCCCATCCTGCCATTGATGGATACGCCGTAAGCCAGCAAGGTCTCATTACGCCGCTGCCCTACTCCGTTTGATTGTAGTCACCGCCGCCGTTTGAGAATCTCCCACAACACCTGCTGATGTAGGGAAAAACCCTAGTTCATGATCTTTTCACACTTGGAGGTGAGGAAAGGATCAAATCAAGAGAATAACACAAGATGAACACTCAATTGACAAAGATCCAATCACTCATGTGCTAAATCCACATACACACGAGGGATACAAAGGTCCAAATCCAACACAAGAAGGCAAAGAGGAACTAGTTCATCCCAATCCTTAGAGGAATTGAGGGCTTGATATCCAAGAGGATCTTCCCTAGAAGGGGTCTTGAATCCACTAGGGGATCTTCTCACATGGAGGCCTTGATCTCCATGGGAGAGGGTAGTGAATGAGCAACGCTCTATCTCAAATCTGAGCGAATCCTTTGTTGACCCTAGTTCGTCCAAGTGAAGGGGTATATATAGCCTAGGGAGAGAGAGGGGGATACGTGGGGGATATATAGCCTCCGGACGTTCGGATCCGCGCGAGCCACCGAACGTCCGATACCTGACTGTGCGCAGCCACTCAGGTTTACACCCATGTATCCCCCTCTCTCTCCCTAGACTATATATACCCCCTCACTTGGACGAACTAGGGTCAGCAAAGGATTAGCTCAGATTTGAGATAGAGCTTTGCTCATCCACTACCCTCTCCCATGGAGATCAAGGCCTCCTCCATGTAAGAAGATCCCCTAGTGAATTCAAGACCCCTTCTAGGGAAGATCCTCTTGGATATCAAGCCCTCAATTCCTCTAAGGATTGGGATGAACTAGTTCCTCTTTACCTTCTTGTGTTGGATTTGGACCTTTGTATCCCTCTTGTGTGTGTATGGATTTAGCACATGCGTGATTGGGTCTTTGTCGAAAGCAGGTGGAAATCGCTCCCCCTCCCGCGTCGCTCCCGCGAGCGACCGGGGGGATTTTCCTAGCGCCGGCGCCGGGGCGTCCTCCTTCCCCTCTCCCTCCCCTCGCCGCCGCCGGCTCGCGCCGCCGGGCAAAGCCCGGTCGGCGTCAGCGGCGGTGGGGTTTCTCACCCCCCCTTTGGAGACGGCCGGCGCGGGCCGCGTTGCTTCAACGGTGGCGATGTGCGGGCGCGGGGGCGTGTCGGCGCGGTGGAGGGCGTCTGGCGGCGGCGTCGCGGACGTGTGGCTCGGCGCGGTGGGCTGCGTGGTGGCGGTGCCTGTCGCGGCCGTGGCGGCCCGATTTGGTTTGGTCCGGGCCCGATTCGGGCGGCGGTGGCGACGGATGGCTCGGTGGCCGCCGGTGGCTTCTCCTCCCGCTCCTGGAGGTCTCCCTCCTGCCCCATGGGTGGCTGGGGTGGCTGCTGCGCGGCCGCAGGGCGGGTGGCAGCGCGTCCGACTCAGATCTGGCGGTGGGATCTGGGTGGACGGTGCGGGTGGGGCTGCGGCCTGGTGTAGCCGTGGCTCCGGCCGTAGGCGGTGGCGCGTGGAGGTCCGGCTCATGGTGGTGGTCTCCCGAGGGTGCGGCGGTTACATGGTGGTTTGGCGGATCTGCCCGCAGCGACGGCCAGCTATCTCCGGCGTCGGCTCGTTTGCGGTCGGACCGCTTCGACCGTAGCTCCATCTACTCGTCGCCCGGGCGTTACTTCGGTCCAGTGGCTGGCCCTCTCCCAGCTGCGGTCCTTCGCTCGTCTCATGCCCGGAGCTGCAGGATGGAGCTCGTCTCGCGCCCGGCAGCAGGACGGAGGTCGTCTCGCGCCCGGCAACAGGACAAAGCTCGTCTCGCGCCCGGCAGCTGGACGGAGCTCGTCTCGCGCCCGACATCAGGACTGAGCTCGTCTCGCGCTCGGGGCTGCAGGACGGGCGATGGAGGCCAGTTTTGGCCGGCCTATTGGGTCTCGGCGCTGGGGTTCGTCCAGGGGTGCGAAAGGCGGGACCTTTCCACTCGTCTCTTCGGTTGGGGTAGCGGCGGGTCACGGGTGAGGTGGTGTCGAGGTCTTGGATGCTGGGGTGGCGGCCCTGGTGGTGGTGGTTGTGCGGTGCTCTTGGACAAAGCCCGTGCCTTGGTGCTGCCCGGTCATCATGGTCGTGTGGGCGGCGTGGTTGCCGGGGTGTGGCGTTCGGTGGTGGTGATTGTGGGCCGAGGTGAAAACCTGCTCTATCTTCGGACGGACCGGCGGCGGCGAAGATCGTTCCCTTCTTGAAGGCGTCGTCGAGGCTCTCATTGCCCGTCATGCGGCTCCGGGGGAAACTCTGATCCTTGGATCGGGCGGGTGGCGGCGCTCCGGCGTCGTATCCTTCCTGAAGGCGCCGCCTTGTCATATGTAGCTTCATTTATTCGGGGCGGTAGTGCTAGGAGTGGTGTTGCTGCGCTCAGCGCCTATGTATCCTGTCTTGGGTGTGTGCGTGTGTTGCGGTGGCGTGGCGTGTGGTTGTACTGGATGCTTGTGGTTCGGTGCTTTATATATAAAGCGGGGCGAAAGCCTTTTTCGCTATTGGATCTTTGTCAATTGAGTGTTCATCTTGTGTTCTTCTCTTGATTTGCTTCTTCCTCGCCTCCAGGTGTGAAAACATCATGAACTAGGGTTTTGCCCTACATCGTCTTGATATCAGAGCAAGGTTGATTCACACCTTGCTAATTAGCCATCCTGTAAGCAGATTCATTTCCATCTCTTCTTCTCGACTGTAGGCGTACCTCTTCTCGGGACATCACAACAATGGCCTCATCATGGGACACAAGCGTCGGCTGATATAGCAGCGCAGCATGCCTACTCTCAAAAGTTTGATCTAGGCCTTTTAGAAACTGCATCACACGCCTGTGCTCGACCCACTTCCTGGCAATCTCCATGGACTTTGCATGTGGAAGTTCAAGTGGATCACTCTGATCCAGATCTGCCCAAAGGTGCTGCAGCTCATTCACATACACCAGTCTATCACCTTGACGAACATCATGGATCTTGTCTTCAATTTGAGACATGAGCATCGGGTTTCCCTTACCGGAATACCTCATGGACAACATGTTCCACACAGCAAAAGCATTCGGCAATGCCTCAACAGACAGTGCAATGGCTGGAATCAGGGGGTTCAACATCCAGGCCAGTATCAGGGAGTCAGTGACGCTCCATTTCTTCCATTCTGAGCTCTCCTTGTCAGCCGGTTCTTCCACCGTTCCAAGAACATATCCCGTCAGTCCCTTTGTCTTCAAGATCAACAAGGCCCGCCTTGGTAGCTGCCCACGCTATTCAACTTGACATCATTGGGCATGAGCTCAAGCTTGAACACCTGATCCACGCGGGGCACAACAATGGCGCCACTTGCAGGAGGTAACTCCTGACAGCTTTCGCAGTCATGAGCTGCTAAAGTTTCTCTACAGCAGAAGTAAGTTCAGCCTCCATGATCACCTCCCCTTTCTCCAATCAGCAGCAGCAGAAGCAAAACAGCAGCAACTCTCAGTAGCAGAAGACACAGCAGAAGCACCTTGCTGCCTCCAGAACCACAGCCCCTACCGGACAGTCTGGTCGTACGAGAGTGCCTTCCAGATTGACGAGGAGACCACCGGATAGTCTGGTCCAACTCGCCGGACAATCTGGTCCCAATCTGTTCTTCAATCAGCACACGTAGCAGCAACCACCTCCACGCGCAGCTCCTCTCCGCCTCCAGCACCACCTCTTCTCCTACCTGCGCAGAGCTCAAGCTTGAACACCTGATCCACGTGGGGCACAACAATGGCGCCACTTGCAGGAGGTAACTCATCGGCAGCTTTCGCAGTCATGAGCTGCTCAAGTTTCTCTACAGCAGAAGTAAGTTCAGCCTCCATGATCACCTCCCCTTTCTCCAATCAGCAGCAGCAGAAGCAAAACAGCAGCAACTCTCAGTAGCAGAAGACACAGCAGCAGCACCTTGCCGCCTCCAGAACCACAGCCCCAACCGGACAGTCTGGTCGTACGAGAGTGCCTTCCAGATCGACGAGCAGACCACCGGATAGTCTGTCCAACTCGCCGGACAGTCTGGTCCCAATCTGTTCTTCAATCAGCACATGTAGCAGCAACCACCTCCACGCGCAGCTCCTCTCCGCCTCCAGCACCACCTCTTCTCCTACCTGCGCAGCAGCACCAAGCTCAGCAGCAGCAGAATCAGCAACTGAGGCACCAGCAGCCAACTTCACCGCCCCTCTTCCTCAGCTCAGCCGCCTCTCCCGGTCCCATTCGCTCACCCAGCAGCAGCACCTCCGCCTCGTGCGCGTGCGCAGCTCGCAGGCAGCCGCTTGTCTCCACCACGCAGCTCGCTGCCGATTTCCCCACTGGACCTCGCCGGTGACCTACCGCCGTCGCCTTCCTCCCTCAACCTCGCTCTCTGATACCATTTAGTTGAGAGAGGAAAGCACCTGGCGGCTGCTCGATCTAGTGTGAAGCGGCGCCCATGACGAGACAACGTCTCTTCTACTAGGTTAGTGAATGGGCTTGGGCCTTATGGGCCAGACTGGAACATGGGCCCACATACCACATATTTACTTCTCCAATAGTAGTTCGTGTCTTGTGTATAATTCACCTTTTTTCTTTGATGCATGTTTGGTCAAAATGAGAAATAAGAGATATTGGGGAAATAAATGTAATAGCATCAAGAAATAACCGCCATATCCACAATATTGTAATATGAATAAGAGATAATAGCTTGCTACTTGAGTGAAATTGCATTGGAGCACACCGTGACCACACCCACTGGAATCTGCCCCATTCATTTGCCTCGGGATTCACACCATTATATTAGACAGTCTTTATTAGGAGATTATGAACCATGTATGTCACATAATATAGGCTTGTATTCGATATCCTTTTCGGACTGACGTTGTCAGTGAGCTCAGACCTCAACCACCACAGACCTTAACCACCAGCGCCCAAAAACCTAATCAATGCACCCACGCTGCTGCTCCTCTTCACAAAGCCATCTTCCCCTGGACGCCCATTCTCCCCTACCATCAACTGACATTGCTCATGTTCTTCTCTCCACTTTTCTGTTTCTTCTTTTCACTCATGGTCTTCTCCTTCGGCGACTTGGACGTGGGAAAAAAAGCTAGGAGGAACAAGGAAGACTATGTCACCGACGGGGAGCAACGTTGAGGACGAACGAGGTAGCCGTCCGAGCTTGCCGCGTCCCGTGCGGACACGGCCAATGACACGACGTCTGCCCTAGCCGCTGACACCAAGTCTTGTGTCCCGCGACCAGCGAGAAATGCAATCGCCGTTCTAGCTTGTCGTGTCCTGCATGACAGCGGCCAGCGACACCGCGTCTTCCTAGGTCGCCGGCACCATGGCCTTCATTTCTGCTGCCAGCGGTACTACATTCAATGGTCGCCGTCGAGCTTGGCATGGCACCGCGTCTTCCCAGGTCGCCGGCACCATGGTCTTCATTCCTGCAGCCACCAGATGCGTGTACGTCGTCCGCGTCCCGGTTGTCCCCGTCGACGTCGAGCTCGGCATGGACACGCTCTGCCTCAGCAACCGTGCCTACAGCCAGCGGTGCTGCATCGAGGTCGTGGGCTTCATGCTTGTGGCCTGCGTGGTCGACGTCCCTTGACCTGTTCCCACTTGATGGCCACGAACTTTTACTCCAACCCATCTCAGCCTGAGCTTCCTCGCATGGGACATGACAGAGTTGTGGGGCCGAAATAAATGTGATTCATTGTTCTTACTACGTTGTATACTTCTCGTATTGGTTGGAGGCAAAAGTAAACTTCATTAACTGTATTCATCCCGAGACAATAATGGACGTGCAGATTTCAGAGGGGTGCAGACCCGAGTGCTCCTCGTCCCCGTCCGCTGCTTGAGTCTATATTTAAAAAATTATGGCTCTTACTTTGAAGGAGAGAGATTGTCAAAACTCTGAGTACCGGGTTTACCTATTATTAATTTTTGTTTGTTATATTATGCTTTTTAAAGTTCACGACAACCATACAAATGGAAAATATATTAAGAGTTCTTGTAAAAAAGGCCCGCCTTATTGTCTTTGCCCCGGGCGCCCAATATGTCAGGACTGGCACTGGCTCCCTAGTGATGTTTGACGGTGTTACACCGACTTTGTCACTGACATGTGTATTTACATTTGTGGTCTTTGCCGAAAAAGGCTTTCGCCCCGCTTTATAAATAAAGCAAACCACCACAGCCACAAAGTAACACATAAGTTCACCCACACACACACACAGAAAGTCGCACAACATAGAGTACAAGAGGGTTCTGCTGAGGGCACAGCTCAACAAGTCCTGAAAAAGAAAACAAAGGCGGATAAACCGCAACAGCAGCTAAGAAGCTAATCCGGCTCAGGTGGTGGAGGAGGAAGCGGCGGCGCCAAGCGGAGAGCCATCGCGCGGAGGTCGGCAATGATGGTGTTGATGGCGTCCCGGTCCTGGTGACGGCTAAGCGGCCGCCAGAGCTGCAAATAACCACACATTTTGAATACAACGTCAGTGGCACGTCGAAGAGGAACTCGCTGGATGACAAGCTTATTACGCACGGTGCTAATCCGGCTCAGGTGGTGGAGGAGGAAGCGGCGGCGCCAAGCGGAGAGCCATCGCGCGGAGGTTGGCAATGATGGTGTTGATGGCGTCCCGGTCCTGGTGACGGCTAAGCGGCCGCCAGAGCTGCAAATAACCACACATTTTGAATACAACGTCAGTGGCACGTCGAAGAGGGACTCGCTGGATGACAAGCTTATTACGCACGGTCCAAAGCGTCCAAGCAAGGACCGCAATGAGCAGCCACCTAAGTGGCGGCTCGACGGGGTGGAAGCCTGGACCTCGGTGAGGAGGTCAGGGAAGTTGGTGTTACACCGACTGCCGCTGACAACCTCACGGAGGCAGCCCCAGAGGAACTGGGCGGAGACGCACGAGAAGAAGATGTGATTCGAGGTTTCCTCTGTCCCACATAGGGGGCAAATCCCATCGCCCAGGCCATGCCGTTTTAACACCTCCACGCTGGAGGGAAGCTGGCCGCGGATCCATTGCCACATGAAGATCCTGATCTTGAGGGGCACACGGATAGCCCAGATCATCTCAAGGGCCGCTGGGGCAGGGGAGGGGGCAATGGCCTGGTAAAGGGATTTCGTGGAGGACCGGCCTTTGTCTTTGGGGTGTCATCTGTAGCAAGATCTCTTGTCCGCTGTGCCATGTTGCCTATGTGGAGTCTTCACCACCGGTTCTTGTCCCAGGTGCTGATCCAGCAGCTGTGAGGCTTCCAATGTTGCTGATGATGCTATGGTTGCTGCCTATGATTAGAAGGTGTCTGACTACCAGGTGGCTCTACTCTTATCATGATGAGCTGACGCCTACACTATACTTAGTGGTTTGATGATGCTGCACGGTCTGTGGCTGTCCTCTGCGCTGGTGTCTTGCCTCGGTTTTATTCTGATGTTGTGGGTTTCTCTACGGCCTTCAAGATGTGGCTCTACTCTTAATCATGATGAGCTGACGCCTATACTATACTTAGTGGTTTGATGATGATGCATGGTATGTGGCTGTCCTCTGTGCTGGTGTCTTGCCTCAGTTTTATTCTGAGGCTGTGGGTTTCTGTACGGTCTTCAAGATGTGGGTCACCTTTGTCAGCTTTATCAGCCCTTGGGTGATGCTTACACAGCGGGATAATACATGAAAAGTGTATGCAACTAATAAAAACATCTAAGGCAGAGAAGACCAGTTAGGAGAGGAAGAGGGAAAAAGAGGAGGAGAATGACATGGCTGGTGTGTAGATTCTTAGTCAGGCATGCAAAGCAACAGTTGAACCTATTTGAATGACTGATGCAAGTTTAGTTTTAGGTTGATATATTTGGTTCGTGCCCAAATCCACAATACCGTCTTTTGACCATGAGCAACAATTTGGTTCTCAATGGATGATTGCCAAATTTTAGGCACGCCTATGCTTCCTTTGTTCATGCTATGTCTAGTGTATTACTTTGCCAATATGACCACACCAAACCTTTGTTAGCCAACTTTTTAGTAGGGTTTGCTTGTGCTGTGTAGTTTTGAAGTTCCTGAACTTATTTGCACTCTTGCAAATTTAAGGATTTCTACGCAACTTCATCTTTTCAGAATTTTGATCTCTGGGTTGACATAATATATTGTTTTGCTTGTCTTCAGGGCAGTTAAAGAAATGAGTGAAAGCATGAGGAAAAATCGCCATTCAAGGGCACATAATGATGGTAGTCCAGGACATTCAAATGATTCACAGAGAAAAGTATGCTTTTGTTCTTTTAATTGTTGACTCATCTTTTACTAAAATTTCAGTGATCTCAGCACAATCTGCTTCTTTTCAAGAACATGTTCTCTTTTCACTCTGTAGTACACTTGATAGTTTGTCGGAGCGGCTCTAAATTACTAAGTTTGGTGGTTGACAATTGCAATTGGATCCTTGTTATATATAGGAGGAATCAGTAGGTGACCTCAACGATGATGAGGTGTCAGTAAGAGAACCAAATGTTCAGGAGGGTTCAAGAAGGCACATTATTACTCAGAAGGCATTGTCATTACCTTCATCACCGCATCGGTTAGGTAACCATGGTTCTAATCTTAGAGAGCCAGCTGACTTCCTTACAGCAGAAGATCTGATGTCCACTTGGAATAAAGCATTGCAATCTTCACCATTTCTGAACAAGCCATTATTGCCTTTTGAAGAATGGCATATTGGGTTCTCAGAGATTGCTGTTGGCACTCGTGTTGGAATAGGCAAGTACTATGTCTCATCCATCGGGCTATATTCTAGAAATCAGGCTATATTCGAGTAACTTTTATGAACTTGCTAGACAAACGGGATGTTTTGAATGTAATAGATGTTCTTGAAACTGAATTTCTCTAGAGCCGTTTCTATTATTTAAAGCTAATGCTCATGTTTATCCTTTTAGGTTTTTTTGGGGAAGTTTTCCGTGGTATCTGGAATGGAACAGATGTAGCTATAAAAGTATTTCTGGAGCAAGATTTAACAATGGAGAATATGGAAGATTTCTGCAATGAGATCTCTATACTTAGGTTTTCATATAGCTTTGCTGCAATTTCTGTTATTCTAGCAGTTCTGTTCTCTTATTATTTCCTTTTTCTTATTTTCAGCCGTCTCCGACATCCCAATGGTATTTCCTGTACAATCACCTTATAGCAGTTTCAATTTGTTTGTTTGCAGTTTTGGTTTCATTTTCTGTGCTGATCTTACTGGTCTGACTGTTTGAAAGTGTTATTTTCTATTCATGCAAGACCTGATGTAATTCAAGGTCTTCTGACAATGATTATGTTGTGCTGGACTGCAGTCATATTGTTCCTTGGTGCATGTATGAAGCCTCCTCACTTATCCCTAGTCACTGAATATATGGAAATGGGTTCCTTGTACTATTTGATTCACACAAGTGGCCAGAAAAGTAAGATCAGTTGGCGAAGGAGGCTAAAAATGCTCCGTGATATCTGTAGGTGAGCAGATACACTTGTTTATCGCTAGCATTTGGTTTTCTGGAGTACCTGATACATCTCCTTCTAGTACTGTAAATTCTTCATCTGATTATTTGTTTGTACAAGGGGTCTTATGTGTATGCACCGTCTGAAGATAGTTCATCGTGATCTAAAGAGTGCGAATTGCCTTGTTAACAAGCACTGGACAGTCAAGTTATGTGATTTTGGGCTCTCTCGGTTATTGTCGAATTCTGCAATGAGTGACAACTCATCTGCAGGCACTCCAGAGTGGATGGCTCCTGAGCTTATTCGTAACGAACCATTTACAGAAAAGTGTGATATCTTTAGCCTTGGAGTTATCATGTGGGAGCTTTGCACTCTGAGTAGGCCCTGGGCAGGAAAGCCGCCAGTTCAGGTAACCAACATACTTTGTATATCCCGTGCACCTCGTCACCAGATGTAAATCAACTCACACAAAGTGTTGTGTAATTTTAGGTTGTTTACTCTGTTGCGAACGAAGGGGCAAGATTGGAAATACCAGATGGACCTCTGGGTAACTTGATAGCAGGTATATTTAAGTTTATTTACGAAAAAAGGCTTTCGCCCCGCTTTATTATATATAAAGCAACGATCAACAACAACCCGGTACAAACGCACGCCAGCACAACACACACACACCCCCAAGGCAGGATACATAGGCGCTGAGCGCAACGGCACCACCCCTAGCACTACAAGAGCAACCGGGGGCTTCAACCGCGAACACGCCACCGCGAAGAGATGAAGCCGCATACGACGAACCGTGGGCTCCAAGGCGGTGCCTTCAGGAAGGTTACAACACCACACTTGTAGTCGACCAACATTTGGCTACAGCAATTCTTCTCTATAAATGGACAAAAGCCATTTCCTTAAAAGCTATAGAAGAGACAGATTAAACCTCATAGGGCTCGTCCCATACTTCCAGCTCTAGAATATACTGGTAATTAGTATGTGCAAAAGCACGTTAAATATCTATGAAGGGTACAATAAATGGCAGCCCAGTGCATGTAGCTCCCGCTTGCGCAGGGTACGGGGAAGGGTCCGACCACTTTGGGTCTATTGTACGCAGCCTTTCCCTACATTTCTGCAAGAGGCTGTTTCCAGGACTTGAACGCGTGACCTCATGGTCACAAGGCAGCAGCTTTACCACCGCGCCAAGGCTCCGTATGAAGGGTACAATACAACTTAAAATTGGTAATCTTCTAAAAGCAAAAAATATGATATGGAGAAATAAAGACATATACAAACAAAGATCTAGTACTCATTCTTGAAACTACTACATGATACGTGCGAAGATCAAGAGAGGAGCAGCATTTGGAGAAAGCTACAGGCTGCAGGCGGCAGATTCTCTATTGATGGGTTCCAGGTTCATCCATAGCCTTAAGATATATTGTGTATGTCACTTGCGAATCCCTGTATTTCAGATACATGTCAGGCCCTCCTATGCTCTCTGAATCTCATGTACTTGTTCATTGTCCGACAACAGCCGTAGACCTTCAGATCCTCATCGCATGGCTGGAGTGTAGTCACAAAGGGGTACGCAGAGTCACTTAAGCCGTCGTCTGAGCATCGTCCGATCTCCATCTGCCGGCTATGATCAAATCACTGTAGCGCACGCACTTACTGTACCTGTTCATGTCGCTGTCAGGCTGCTTTTATCTTCAGTGAACTTTTCCTCTTTATAAAGACCTCAGATCCCATCGGGAGAGGCATCGAATGTAAACTGGGTTGTAACCCTGGCCGCCACTGGAGTGGTTGGCCTACTTTCCTTTTCTTGTAAGAACCCTAATGAGTTTCCTCTGAAATCAAGCAAGAATTCCTCTGAAATTCCATGTGTTTGTGTTCGTCAGTTAGTTAGAGCTTAACAATTGGTAATCAGAGCATACGGTTCTCGGCGGCGTAGTGGATTTGGGGGAGTTTAGGAGCTTGCTCCATTCCTAGATCCCGGTGGCGGCGCGGCAACGGGTGGCGCAGGCGGCGGTAGATTGCTCGAGTGCAGGCCTGGTTTGGGTAGTGGTTGCTTCAGAACTTCTTTGCAGCGGTAAAATCTCACACACCCATCCTCTCCGGTGCATTATTGGCGGTGGGCACAGGCGGCGGTGTTCGACGGTGGAAGAAACAGGAAGCGCATGTCCGGTTGCCGCTTGTGGTTGTAAAATCCCTCCCTCGCCCCCCCTGTTTGTGTTCTTTATTCTGTTCGGTGCGAAAGCTTCCTGCTTTCATAAACCCTGACGGAATCATGGCTCTCAACTCTAACTCTGCGGACACGGATCTCCTCGAGCTCAAGTCCCTCCAGTTAGATGTGCAAACACTCCAACAACAGCGAGCTGCAGATCGCCAAGAATTCATCGAGTTCACCCACTCGGTCAATCAAAATTTTGCTGTTTTGCAAAGCAGTTTTTCCAAAGTTTAGTCGAGTTTGGATGGTTTCTTCTCAAACCAACCGAATCTGGGCAAACGCCTACTGACTGAAGGCCCTCCGGGTCCTCCTGAAAACCTACCAGTCCACAAAGATGCGGGGATTACACCTGGACAAGGCAGCATCGACCAAGCAGCACCTAAAGTCCATGGCCTGGTGACCACTGTTGTGCCTGATCCCACCACCAAGGAAAATTCAGCCGAGCTGGCTGCCAGACACCCATACCCCAATTATGGACAGCAACAACAGCACAATTGATGTAGGGCGGAACCCTAGGTGCCGATCTTTCACGTTTGGAGTGGATCCTACGGGGAGACACGAAGAACGAGCGGAAGAACACGAGGAAATCACGGGGAGGAACGAGGGAAAACACTCAACCAACAAGGAATCGGTCACACAAGTGCTAGATCAAAGAACACAAAGAGATACACGAGATCCAAAGTCAACAAAGGTAAGGATACAAAGGTAACCGATCTTCTCCGTGAGGAGGTCTTGAATCCACAAGGGGATCTTCCCACGAGGGGGTCTTGAATCCGATAGGATCTTCTCCGAAGAGGCCGCGGTCTCTCACGAGGAGGAGATCCGATGGATGAGCGAAGCTCTATCTCTAACTTGAGCTAAATCAACGCTAACTCTAACTAGGAGGAGGGGGTGGTCTATTTATAGTCTAAGCCACGAAGGGGTAAGTGGGAAAGGGGGTACATGGGCTTCGGCCTGAGTCTTTGCACGCAGGCAGGCCGGAAGTTTCGGGCGGGGCCGGAAGTTCCGGGCTCCGGAAGTTCCGGGCAGGTTTCGGCCGGGTTCCGGGCTATCCAGAGAGTTGGCGCGCTCGGGGCTGGTCTGGACTCCGGGGGCCGAAGGTTCCGGGCAGGCCGGAAGGTCCGGGGGCGGAAGTTCCGGGCTGAGGCCGGAAGTTCCGGGCTTTCCAGAAGCTCGTCCCTGCTTCTTCTCCCTTCTCCTCTTCCATGCTTGGCCTTGGTCCTTGGATCCTCCATGGTTGTCTCGGTTGTACCTGAGTGTATGCAAGGTCCATGCATGAGGTAGTAGCCATGTCTCACATGTGGAAAGTGACGGTTCGAAGAGGAGGGAGTTCACCTTGTGCCCAATGGCGTATGGTCGAGGTCTCGTCATATGTCCTCTTGGGGCTTGGAGAGTGGTCGGAGTGTACATGGGGATGAACGTGGGATGCTCCGCATCATCTCCCCCCCCCCTTGGGAAAGATCCGACCTCGAATCGTGATCCTCATCACCATGGAAACGAGTGTCATGGACGGACTTGTAGTTGGACGTAGGTGAAGGCATTGCGCAATCCAAGTACTCCAAGGTGTCTCCGGTATGTGGTACATGCAAAATGAGCAAACACAAGCGACACTCGAAAATATAATGGTTAGCGTACACAAAATGTCCATCAATTAAGCGTGAGTCCATGCGAAGGGATAGTGCGTGACAAAGCGCATGAAGCTTATCAAGATGATCTAGAATGGTATGCAAAGCATTCATGGGAACAAATGCAATCATCGTGCACACAATTGTGTTATGAGTATGAGCAATGCAACCACGGTGCAAAATGATGTCATAATGGGATGGTGCATCAAAAGCATGAACATAGCAATGGATGCTCAATATGTATATGTTATCATGCAATTGATGGTGGGCAATATGATCATGATGTATGAATATGCCATCAAGGAAGATCATAACAAATTTGCTAAGGAAGTGAACAAGCTCATATATCATGGATGACATAGAAATACAAGATGCACCAAGGCAATCATAATGCAAGTCAATCCATGTATAAAGTGCAAACTTGTTATGGGAGTTGTTGTACCATGACTCAATGTCGTGGTAGCAATGGTGGTCCGTTGGTGAATTCACTAAGTCCGAGCACTCCTCAACTTGAAGGTCCATAGGGTCCATCTCCAATGCCGGTCCTCCATCCAATAGATGTATCATGTAGACAACAAGAAGGAAACAACAATGAAAGAATGACCCGTCCAATATGCGTACTTGAGGATGGCTCAAAGGGAAGGAGGTCACCTTTAGGAGTTTCTCAAGGATGATGGAGTTGTGCATCTTGTATGCCTTCACATAACCAAAATGTCTTTTTATGGTACCGCCTTGTGAATCCTTCAAAATGAAAGAACATGACAAACACTCGGAAAAACAAATGAGGTTAGTGCAAATGCAAGACCTATCATTCGAGGGGCGAGATACCCAACAAGTGTTTTCATCATTCTTATCATAAGAAAGAACAAGGTGTGGTATGGTATGAAAGCATATGATGCAACTACAACCAAAGACAATAGGCTCAAGTAAGCAAGCATGCATCACAAGTAATATGTCCAAGTCTCCATGATCAATAAGCATAGCAAGTTGGCACTCAACACAAGGTGATATGAGAGATGCAAGTAATGGAGACAAGAGACAATGATCAAGATAAATCAAGTTAGAGGCATGAACAAATATGTCATCAACCCAAGAAAGCGAGTAATAGTGGAACATGGGTGATGCAAAATAGCAAGCAATCATAGCGATCAAGTCAAGCATGTCATGTGTGCAAATAGTGGGCATACAAAATGCACATGACATTTCACAAGCATAAGGGCAAGATATGAGCAAAGTAGCATCAATAGCATGGGGCACATGATAAACATGGCAATAGCAACAAGGATCTCCACCAAGCATGCAAATACACATAGGAGTAGCATAATGGTGAATCATGGGTAGATGCAAGCAAGGGTCACAATTGCATGGCAAAGGCATAGAAGCAAGCATATCATGCAAAGTGAACACGGTAAAATGAGCATAAGGTGACAAGAGGTAAATAGCCCATAGCCTTGTGAGAGACAAGTAAAAGAGATGCGCGTAGTCCTTGCGCGATGGGAACGGTGGTAAGGATAGTCCACGGAATCCCAAGTCATCGTTGCTCTCAAGAGCTCGTTTCGTCAACTCTTGGGATTGAGAGGTTGACGAGTATTCATAAGTACCTACACAAAACAAAGACAAAGGAAAAATTGTGTGTGCATGGTATATGTACACATCATCCATCATGATGCGCACATGCATGTGTCGGTTAGCACAAAATAGCCAATGCTCAAATAAATGAGATGCGTG